GCTTCTTTTATGGTGGAGATTTTTGGAGTATAGGTTGGTTAGATGGTTTATTGACAAATGGCTGTGAAGAGTTATTTGGTAAATTTGGTTGCTGTGGTGGTTGTTGTGGTAAATTTTTATTATTAGGAATTGAACCAGAAGAGTTTTGTAAGGAATTTGGCTGAAGTAGTGGTGATTTAACTTGTTGCTGGTGGTGTGTATTGTTTGTGGGAAAACCACCAGATGAAGATGATAAGGGTGAGGGTTTATTTATGCCACCTGTTGAGCTATTTAAAGGTTTGTTTTGTTGATTTGAGGGTGTTAAAAGTGAATGGAAGTTTTGTTTGATTCTTTCATATAAAGCTGTGCCAATAAAATCTGGAGGGAATACATGATTTAAAGATTGAACAACATTTTTTTCAAGTAAGGTTGAAAACGAATTACCAATACCAGTTTTAATTAGCTCTTTTCTTTGAGGGTCATAGGTTTCTAATAAAGTACCAATGATATATTCGACCAAATCGATTGTCATATCAGCATACTTTTTAACAGAACCAGCCATTAAAAGGATAGCAGGTTCGATATTCATAATTGAATCATGTTTTTGTTCATAGTAAAGCCAATCTAAAAATAAGGATAGTTTCGAATAGTTTCTCCAAGCATCGGATTTGCAATGTTTGAGGAGCCAACCAATAATAGCCCATCTTGGAACGATATCACTACATAATACATGATTTGGAGGATGATAAACACAACAAATATAACGGATAATATCGGGTATTAATGATTCTGATTCTGGTGTCATTAAATATTTGGTGACAAACCATTGTTGATAACGTTTTTGATTACCAAACTTAACTTCTTTTAATATATACAATACTTGAATTTCCATTTCTGGTGATAATCTAGACTGTAAAAAATGTTTAGGTGTTGGTATCCTCATTGATTGGCTAATATCTTGATAACTACTCGAAAATGAAGTTGGTTTACTGTTTAAATCTTTCCAAAGCTGTTCAAATTCTGGTGTTTTATTACTTAAATATTGTAATAACCTAATTAAATCTCTACCAATAACTATACATTCTTGGAACTAAAAAAAAAAAATTAATATTTATAAATTTTATATAATTAAAAAGTAAATTTAACAATAATTATATTTACTCTATTTTTTAATAAATCCAAACAAAACATTGTTTCTTCTTTTAAATGTGATGGATTAAATGGTGGTGGTTTATTAATATGATCTTGAATTAATCTTAAATAATGGTATAATACAATTGGGATAAAGTTTGGTTTGTTGTATAGCCATGCTCTAAATAAGATGATTTTATATAAATATTAGTAATATGAAATCATTAATAGCCAAATAAAAATAATAATTATAACCTACTTGTGTGATATAAATATGTTTAACATTGAAAAACCTAATGATAAATTTTTTTGAAGGAGATTACCCCCATAAATATGTCTTAATGTAATTGAGGAGACTGATTCACTTTCTGGGTGGTTGTTATTAATAAGTTCGTTAATAATCCATAAAACTTGCTGTCTTGGGTTATCATTTAGTTTTTGAAATTTATCCCCAATCATCTTTTTTAATAAATTACAAAAAGTTAACAATGAATCTTTGGAGACAAATGTTAATGATTTGAAATATTGTGCACCTAAATTTGATTGTGGGACTGATATTAAAATTGCATATAATAATCCTATTGTTATTTCTGTATGAGTTTTAACATCTGATGCGTCAGATGTTTTTTCTACTAATGAGTTATTGATATCATTTTCTGTTGAGTTTATTAATAATTGTTCTATTTTTTCATAACAATCTCTCCATACCTAAATAAAAATATTAATAAAAAGTTACTGTTTAATATATAATAATAAATAATGTATAATAGTTACCAATTCTAATGGGTCAGGTTCATCGACTTCCCTTTTATGAAATAATTTTAATTTTTGACTAACTAAATGTTGCTGTTGTTGAATTGAGGGTTGTGGATTTGATTGGGTTGGGTTTGATGATTGCTGTATTGGTGATGATTGCTGAATAGGTAATTGCTGCTGAGATGATTGTAATGGTATTTGTGGTACCGTTGTTGGTTGTTGAGAGGGTTGTTGGTTCATCATGTTGTATTATATACAGTAATAATAATAATAATAATACTAATACTACTACTACTATTATTTATATATACTATATACAATACATATGATTACTATGCTATTACTGATTTTATATGATGTGATTGATGACGATTTATATTTTTATTTTTTGATGATACTATTAATTTATATCATTTAATTTATTTATATTTTTTATTTTATTTTCTCTCAGCACAATTTCTCACACACAATCTCTGATTTTTTTTTTTTTTTTTTTTCTATTTATAAATTTGGATAAAAACAAATAATATAAATTTATAAATTTATAAATTTTTTTAATAATGAAAATAAAAAAAAATTTACTTAATTTAAATAAAAAAAAAAAAAAAAAAATTTTTAAAAAAAAAAAATTAAAAAAATAAAAAAAAAATTTTTTTTTTTTTTTAAAAAAAAAAGTAAAAAATTTTAAAAAAAAAAAAAAAAAAAAAAAAAAGATTTTTATTTAAATTTTTTTATATTATATTATAGTTTTATCCCACTTTATTTTTATATTTATAGTTTATATATATATGTGAGTTATTTAAATATACATTCATTAGAGCCATAGTAAAATAAATAAATAAATAAAATAAAGTAAAATAAAAAATTCAAAAATAAAATGAAAAATGAATACCCACCACCAGAGGTAAATACACACACACTCCCTCATATTATATTAAAATATTAGTACCATTTTAAAAAAAAGTATATTTACATTTTATTTATGTATACATAGAAATTAATTAAATCAGGAAATTTATTAAAGAAAGGTAAAATCAACAAAAGTTGGCAAAAAAGATGGTGTATATTATCAAAAGAAAGCAAACTATTTTATCATAAATCACCAACTGAAAAACACTGCGGACTTGTAGATTTAAACCAATGTATTATTAAAAAAAGTGAATGTACAGAAAAAGAATATATATTTGAAATCAATACAAGTAATAGAATTTTTTTATTTTCGGCCGAAACTAAATCCGAAATGGAGGATTGGATGAGAAAAATCTATACTCATTCTAAAATTCAAAAAGAGAATGACTTATTAGAAAGAGCAGAATATATAATTAGAGATCAGGCACTATGGAAATCAAACCTAGAAGACGAATTTTTAAAACTAAAGCATGCTTTCAATCCATATATTTTTAATCAATCTAATAATAGTAGTAATAACAATAATAATAATAATTCAAATAACATAACCACACCTAGAAAAAATAGTACTAATAGTAATAACATTAATGGAACCAATAATATTAGAAATAGTATAAATATAATCGATGATTTAGATAATAATAATATTAATAATAATAATATTAATAATAATAATAACAATGATGAAATTATTCTCGAAGAAGATGATGATATAGATCTATATAATTATATTCCACTGTCTTTACTCTCTTTTGGTTTCCATAATCAAACAGATGCGTCCTCATCCCCCTCACTGTCCCATTATAACTCTCTAAGCACAAAACAACTATATAATCATTTTAACTCAATAATTGACCATGAATATAAACATCCTCTAATTTTAATAAACAATAATAACAATAACAATGGTGGTGGCAATGGAATGGGCAATAGTATTAATATTACAAATATTTTAAATAATAATTTAAACACTAGTATAAATTATAATAATATTTATAATGGTATTAATAATATGGTTAATAATAATCCAACATTTTCATACACGTCATCATCGGTATCAACATCATCATATTCATCATCATATTTATCAACCTCATCAGCATCATCTAATATTAATTCGACATCACCACAAAACACAACTATCAATAACTATAATAATAATATAAATAGTACCGATAATAGTATTAATAATAATGATAATGATAATATTACAAATAGTCATAGCATTTATAATAATGACACCAATAATGAAAATAATGAAAATAATAAAAACAATAATATAGGATCCCCATCTTCAGTAAGAACGAGATCACATACTACACATAATAATTCTACTAGCCCCAAAACATCAAATAAAGAAGATTCTAAAAGCAATATAGTAAATGGTGATAAAGCTGCTACTTCAAGACGATTCAGTTTTTTAGGTTTAAAAAAATAACTATAGTGAATCTTCATAAAAAAAAGCAATATTAATAAAGATATAGATTATAGAATGTTTATGTAGATATACATTATATAAAATATTTAAAACCCTTATTTATTTAAAAAAAAAAAAATAGATTATATATTGTTTTTATTTATTTTATTTAAATATTTTTCTTTACTTTTAAAATTGTTTTATTTGGTTGTTTGTTATATTATAGTTTTTTTTATTTAATTTCATAGGTATCAACTGATAAAGTTGTTTCATTTGAATAAGTAGTTGGTTGATTAGTTTCTTCTATGATTACATTACCAATGACAGTATCGCAAATGGTTTGAGAGGCTGTAAATTGAATTTTAACTGGGAAGAAAGCTTGGGTATTACCTTTAACAGAGAATTCTAAAGCACCAGTTTTATTTGATTCATCGATGACTGGAATCTTCCAAATGACCAATCTTTGTTTTGTATCATATTCGTAATGACCATCAAATTTATTAATAACTGGTGTGTTTGATGTTGGATTTGGAATAACAATAAATACATTCTTTAATTCATAATCTACAGTACATTCATATTCTAAGCTGACCATTGTGCTGTCTCTACCTGGTGATGGCCAACAATTGACACGAATTGGAATCATTGAGTCATCACTAGTTTTACATCTCCATTTCAAAACACCACCACTTGGGAATGATTTGGCATCGTTTCTAAGTTTCAAAACTGATTGATCTGTAAATACTGCTTTATCGATATTTGGATGAGTCTTTTATTATAATAAACTATTAGTATATTATATATATATACTTAATTATGAGGAGGTGTTTTTTGTTAATACTTACAATAAATTGGAATTGTTTTGAATCTCTGCCTTGTTTGAGTAAAACTTTAACTTTACCGAGTGATTCATCATTAATTTGTACTGATAAACCACCCTTAATATCAACACCTTCAATTGTACCATCACTTTCGACTAATGCTGAGAAGGCTTCTTCGATTGTAATATGGACACTATAACAAAAAGAAAAAAAAACTAGTTAATATTTATATCGCAAAAATTTATAAAATCAAAAATGAAAAATTTACCCCTCTTGTGGTACAGATGGAGTTTCTGGTATAAATGAAGCTGATGGTGAATCTAATAATTGAGCAGCATCTTCAACTTTTTCAACAATTTTTTCTTCTTTTAATACTTGAGCAATAGCACTGTTCTTTGATAAACTAGATTTACTACCAAGTTTCATACCTTGTAAGCCTGAGGATGAGGATGATGGTTTAGATGATGATGATGGGGTTGATGATGGTGAATCTCTTTCATTTCCTTTATTATCTCTGCCAGGATAACCTGATGAACGTGATGGTGAATTATTATTATTATTATCATAGCCTGATGGTACTGGATTATAATCACCACTGCCCATACCACCACCACCAAATCCACTTCTACCACTCATTCTACCACCACCTCTAAGTTCCTCTTCTCTTCTTTGTTTTTCAATTTGTAATGCTTTTTGATTAGCAATTCTTCCTGCATCTTTCTTTTTAGCCTATTAAAATAAAAAAAATTAAATATTAATAAAAAAAATTGAAAAAAAACAAGCTATGAAAGAGTATAAACTATTTACTTCTTCTTCTCTTCTAAATCTTTCTTCTTCATGACTTTCCATAGAAATGAAATGTTTAATTTGTTGAAGTGAAACTCTTTCTTTATAACCCATTGCAATTACTTCATCAAAAGTAAATACTAATTCGAATGCATTTCTGGATATATCATATTCATCAAAATTTGAATATTCTGGAACCTATATATTTGTTAATTATATTATATATTATGAATATTAATATAAAAACCCAAGACCACTATTATTATTATTATTTAAACTATTATTTACCAATTTAGCCAATAAATGTAATGTATCTAAATCTTCTAAAATATTTGAATTTTTATTTGTAATTAAAACTATATAAAGTGACTCTAATGGTTGATAAACGTATCTGATATTTTCTGTTTCAATAAAAGTATGTTGTCTACCAGTGCCAATTAATTTTGGAAAAGCTGCTAAGAGACCTTCAACTCTGCTTTTGGTCATTTCTGAAAATTGTCTTGATAATAAGGCTTTACCATTTTTAGTACAAATAGCTGCTGCTAAAACTACCATTTTATTTTTTTTTTTGTTTTTTTGTTTTAAATTAAAAATAAATATAAAAGATTGATTAATTTAAAATGATTGAACTAAAAAATTATAAAAATTAAAAAAAAAAAAAAAATTATTTAAAAAATTAAAAAAAAAAATTAAAAAAAAAATAAATAAAAAAATTAAAATTTTTTTTAAAAAATATTTTTTATTTTGCATACGTCAATTCTGATACTTTTTAAAAACAACAATTAAACAAACACATCAATAGATAGATATATTACTTACTTTTATTATTATATTTAAAAATACAAAATTTTGTTATTTCGATTTTTATTTTTTATTTTTATTTTGAGTATTTTTTCAAATATTAATAATATCATTCGTTTTTTGAATATTAAAATTTTTTTTTTTTTTAATTTTTAATTTTTAATTTTTATAATTTTTTGATTTGACTTAATGAGCTTTAATTATCGCCTCCATTTTGTGTGGAAGAGACTTATAAAAATTATTTATAATCTCAGAATTGATGTAATGAAAAACGTCAATATGACATTGTATCGAGTTTATTAAACATTTGAAATGATAACATTTATTTATCTTATGACCATGATTATCTATTATATTTAAATCGGGGCTTTAAGGTTGTATTTCATTAATTGAAATATTGAATTTTCTTCTTTACTCCCTAACCATGTATGAAGTATAAGATGAGGATTTTCATGACAATTTTCGTGAACCCTCTCAGGCACCAGTATAGTAACCTCAGGGTTGATTGTGTATCATTTTTTATATATCAATATAGAAATTAGAATCTAAACCCTCTGAAGGATGATCTTAATATCCAAGATAATAGAAAATGTTTCCCCAAAACATTGCATTATCTCCACTTTTTCTAACACTTGTTTTAGTATTTAAATCTATTAAAACTTTAGAGACATAGGCCCAAGATCTTATATCATGATATTTATTAAATTATTGAAACCTGACTTCATCCATAAACATATGATTTTCTCGTTGATCCACAGTCCAGTTTTTATGTCTGATTTGGTCTCTTCTTTTGTATGATAATATTTAGTAACTAAGTTCATCACTTAACCTCATCAACACAAGCGAAAAATAGCACCATAATATTAGATTTATCAATATAGTTTTTGAAAAGGAAAATAAGAATATTTTAATAAAATTAAAAATTTTAAAAAAGCGCTAATTATAATTAAAAAAAAAATAAATAAAATGTTTAAAAAATTTACAGAATCACTTTGCAATGAATTTTTTTTTTTTTTTTTTTTTTTTAATTTTAATTTTATTTTAATGTATGATATGGAGATGTGTTTAATTTATTTGAAAAAAAAACGTCCCCTGTTTTATATAAATATAGTATTTTGTTTAAAAAATTAATTTTAAAAAATTTTTATTGGGTGATGTCTTTTCAAATTTCATTTAATAATTAACCAATATTGGTTTCAGGTTTATGTATAGATATTCCTGAGTAACCATAGGTGATACGGAGACGGTGTTGGGGAAGTGTTGCTTTATACTAATTCATATACAACATTGGTATTACTATTTGGTAATGAACCGGGTGGAAATACGTGTTTAGATTTAGTTTTGAATGTGAGTGTTTTGAGGCTATTTGGTAATGTGCCGGGTGGAATCTCTTGGTCAAAACTTTTACCGAATGTAAGTGTTGTGAGACTATTTGGTAATGTACCGAGTGGAATTACTTGGTTAAAATTATCACCGAATGTGAGTGTTGTGAGACTATTTGGTAATGTGCCCGGTGGAATTACTTGGTTAAAATTATCACCGAATGCGAGTGTTGTGAGACTATTTGGTAATGTACCGAGTGGAACTACATGGTTAAAATAACGACCGAATGTGAGTTTTGTTAGACTATTTGGTAATGTGCCGGGTAGAACTATTTGGTTAAATTCATAACCGAATGAGAGTGTTGTGAGACTATTTGGTAATGTGCCGGGTAGAACTATTTGGTTAAAATAATAAAGGAATGTGAGTGTTGTGAGACTATTTGGTAACGAGCCGGGTGGGATTACTTGGTTAAAACTATAACCGAATGTGAGTGTTGTGAGACTATTTGGTAATGAGCCGGGTGGAACTACTTGGTTAAAAAGATTACCGAATATGAGTGTTGTGAGACTATTTGGTAATGAGCCGGGTGGGATTACTTGGTCAAACATATAACCGAATGTGAGTTTTGTGAGACTATTTGGTAATGAGCCGGGTGGAATTACTTGGTTAAAAAGATTACCGAATGTGAGTGTTGTGAGACTATTTGGTAATGTGCCGGGTGGAACTATTTGGTTAAAAAGAGTACCGAATGTGAGTGTTGTGAGACTATTTGGTAATGTGTCGGGTGGGATTACTTGGTTAAAAAAATGACCGAATGTGAGTGTTGTGAGACTATTTGGTAATGAGCCGGGTGGGATTACTTGGTTAAAATCACGACTGAATGTGAGTGTTGTAAGACTATTTGGCAATGTGCCGGATGGGATTACTTGGTTAAAATTACTGAAAATGAGTGTTGTAAGGCCATTTGGGAGAGTTGTTAACATTTTAAATTTGTACAAATATAAAGTTGTCAAAAATGGTGGAAATTCATTTTTATCCGGTAGTGGATCACCATTCCACTTAAGTGATGTTATATATGATTTATCTTTAAACTGGTAATAACGGGCTTTATCAAGATCTACAACACTATTTTCAATAAACTTTAAAATATGTTTATGAATTTCATTTCTTAAAAATACATTATTCCAAATTATATAAAATAATCTATAATAAATAGTTAAAAAGAGAAAACACCAATTAACATGCTTTTAATTAATCTATTATTGTTTATTGTATTGTATTGTACCTATCACCATCACAACTACTGTTTTTTAACTCTTCATTTACTTGAAAGTTAATAAGAGATGATAGTAGCATTGTGAATATAAAAAAAAAAAAATAAAAGAAAAATATTTTTTATCCCTTAAAGTGCTGAGGCTGTGCGGTTGCCAAAAAAAAAAAAAAATTCATAATAAAAATTTAAAAAAATTTTAATAATAATTGTTTTTTTTTTTTTTTTAAATTTTTCACAAAAACTCAACACCAAAAAAAACTTCCCCAACTTTAAGATCAAGTAATTACTCTTAAAATAATTCACCAAAACTTCAATCATTTATTAATTTTTTTAAAATTTTTATTATGAATTTTTAATGATGTTGGTGATTGTCTTTATGCTCAAAATGGTAAATATAAAATGTTTTACTCTTTAACGAATATACCAAAACCAATTTTTAAAGAAAAGAAAGAGGCCCTTCAAAAATCTTCAAGAGTTAAAGATAAAGGCACTGATAGATACACAACCAAACCAATCAATACACCGATAGTAATTCATTTATACAACCATAATCACAACTTTGTCGACTCAACCAAAATGGTTATAAATCCACAAAGAAATATCAGCTCGCCCAACTATCCAAGAGTTATTTTAAATGACGTTTTGTACACTATATTACACAAATGTTGGTGGTTCTATTTACACGGACAGCGATTTATCTGGTGAAAAAATCATATAACAACAGTTATTATACAAAAAATAATAATGGAATTCCAAATCCAGTAACAGTAACATACGAACAAATACTGGCCCCTAATAGTATTGCATATAATAATGAACCAAGACTTAAAGTAGATAATGATCCTACAACTAGTGGTGATCCAGTACAGGTGCTCATGCCAAAGGTTTTTTTATTTGGAATAAACATGGTAAACATAGTCAATTTATATATATTATAATAATATTTAAAATATTAATTATTAATTTTTTTTTAATCATTATAGGAGGTATTCATGTTATTCATAGTTATCCTCAATCACCCGTATTTGATACCGCTGGTGAATTTTTTGTAAAAAAAAGGAAAAATAATAACATGGGTCAACATTCAGTTTGTATCAACTTATCATCAAATGAATTAGATATTATTCCAAAACTTTTAATTTATGGTGATTTTATTATCAATTCAATTAATGGTAAAAACATTAGAGATATAACAAATAAGCTATCAAGTCTATCCGCTTTTTCAGAAATTAATAAAAGAGTTGGTACTTTAATCGATATCACCGAATTTACAGCAGCTCAAATCACTTCATTAGAAGCCATAAAGAAAACATTTGATAAATTTGATGAAGAAGTTTTCGATACACTTTTAATTTATAATTACTATTATTCTAAATCTATTACTTACCACTATGGCACCAATTGGGGCAGAAAAACCATCTTCTTCTTTATAAAAATAATCTATATTGTTATTATCTGTCTATGAATGATGATGAAAAAAAAATTTAGAAAAAAATAATTATAATTTCAATTAAATTAAATTAAAAATTTTATCTTTTGTATTTATTTTAACATGCATCAGAAATAAATAAAATATTAACATAGAAAATAAATTTTAATATATAAAATTATTTCAATTTGATAAACAAAGGTGTGGTTTTGTTGGGTCATAATGCCTGTTAATTGAAATATAAAATATTAAAAAAAAAACAAATAAAATATTTTTTTATAAAAACAGATTTATTTTGTTTTTGAAAAAAAAAAAAATTTATTTTTACAATTGCAGTTTATTATTCGGTATTATTTTAGTTTGCTTTAAAAAAAATTTCTTAAAAATAGATACAATGAACTCTTAATAATATTTTTTTTTTTTTTTTTTTACGAAAATTTTCTTTTTTTTATATAAAATATTTTTTTTTTCGCACTATATCTTGGCATCTCTCCGTTTTTTTAGAGTTTTTCGAAAAATGCTTTGTTCAATCTCAATAATTTTTGATTCACTCGTTCATGAAAAATATGTCTGTTTTTGAAAGGATATGATTCTTTGAATCAAATATGATTTTTTATATTTTCAAAATCCACACAACATCCAAAAAATTAAAGCTTTTGCTATTTAAAAAAAAAAAATAAAATAGAAAAAATTAAATATTTTATTTTTTCTTTTTTTTTATTTTTTTTGAAGCAATGAAACAAATAAATATTAATTTTATTTTAATAATAGTAATACTTTTATTTTTTAATGGGAATAGTTTTGTAGTATCTCTAGCACCAAAATGTAAAACTACTAAAAATGTGTATCAAGGTGAAGCAAGTAGTAAATATAGTGGTGGAAAAAACAACATCATTGATGTGGAATGGTGGTTTTTACAACAACTTTCAGATATAGATGGTGGTGCTATTTACACAGACAGCAGTTTATCAGGCAAAGAGACTATATCCGAAATCAACAATTATTATACAAAAAATGATAATGGAATTCCAAATCCAGTAACAGTAACATACGAACAAATACTAGATCATAATAATAATTACTATAGTATTGTATATAACAATGAACCACCAAATAAAATAAATAATGATCCTACAACTGGCAATGACCATATTGGTGCTCATGCAAAAGGTTTCTTTATTTGGAACATGGAAGGTAAATATCATTTATTTTACTATACAAATCATCCTTTATACTAATATTATTTATTCATTATAACAGGAGGTATTCATGTTATTCATAGTTATCCTAAGTCACCTGTAAAAGGTACTGCTGGTGAATTTTTTGTAAAAAGAATGATAAAGAAGAACATGGGTCAACATTCAGTTTGTATCAACTTATCACCAAATGAATTAGATATTATTCCAAAACTTTTAATTTATGGTGATTTTGATATTAATGCAATTAATGGTGTATTCATTAGAGATATAACAAATAAGCTATCAAGTGTATCCAATTTTAAAGGAATTCAAACTCGGATAAATGGGGTTGGTCAATTTATCGATATCACCGCATTTACAGAAGCTCAAAACACTTCATTAGCAGCCATGGAGAAAAAATTTGCTAGTTTTGACGAAGAAATTTTTGATAAACTTATATTTGATCCAAAAACAAAACATTGGTCAAAAGATAAAATCGAATTATCAAAATGGTCTACTGTAGTAAGTTTTAAATAGATTTATATAAATAAAATATTATTTAATAATACTTGTTTAAATTAAAATACTAATTTTTTTATTTGGTTATTAATATTTATAGGCAAGTTTAATCAGTAACTTTGATTTTTCATCATATGATTTCACAGCAGCAGAGAAAAAAAATGGTGTTAAAGACTGTATACATTACAATAAGGTAATGGATCAATCCAATGGTGATGGTCAATACTTTGTTCAAACCACAAACACACATATTCATGATAAAAAAGATAAAGATCAATCATATCCATTAACAAAAAGAGGATTTAATATGATATGGGATTATATTGCAGATTACTATTCCACCAATCATAGAAAAACAGGTAAATGGTTCATTAATACAATGCAGAAGGGTGGTATATCAGGTAATGATAAGATGGCAATGCCATCAAATCTAATGAATCTTGTCATTAGAACTGATGCGCCATGGTCCGTTAGTAAATCTACAACAGATGGTTCTCAACATTCAAAATTATCATATTTAGTCGATAGAAGAGGTAATCTATTTTGTAAGTATTTTAAAGTCAATATATTAATAACCATTAATTAATATAATTAATAATAAATATATAAACATAATTATTTTAAATTTTATATTGAAAGGTATTGGTGATCTTAATTGGCAAGGTAAACAAGCAAGTTATCATAATCTTTTATTTTTTAAAAAACATTAAATAATTAGTTATGATTTATTAATTTGTTTTTTTTTTTTTATATTTAGGAATCGAGAGGTGGCAGTGCATTTTGCTCAAAAAATCTAGATTATTTGGCTGAATACTATGAAAGACGTGTTACATTTATTGCAGACCCTCCAGTAAATAATGATTATGATAGATTTGGTGGTGAGGTTTTACCATTCTCTTCATTCGGTTTCCAAATAGATTTTTCAAAAATTACTAATGATTTACAAACTAATGGAATTGATATAACAAAAAGAATACCATTAATGGAATTTAAACTAAAAGATCAAAAAAATGCATATAAATCTTTCAATCCCAGAATATTTATAGATACAGAAACAAAACCATCAATAATATATGATAAAACTGGCGGTTTTACTTATGATAGTAAAAAACTCATCAAAGGTTTCAATAGTGAAATAAAAGAAATCTATGTTCCATTGAAACTAGTGTATGTATCAAATAATCAGGAACCATCAAAATTTACTTATGAAACAGCCGAATCCTTTTCTTTATTTATATCGCCCAGTATCAAGAATGAGATTATTCTTTGTGATGAAAAAAACATTAAATGCGACTATGATTATATGGAACAATTGTTTGTGTATGATTTAAAAATCACATTTGAAATGGGGAATTTCAAAATTTTAACAAATAACAAGATTGGTCATCTTAAACAAGATAAAATAGCTCTTATTCTCAAATCAGAAAAAAAAATTGATTTCAAAATATTAAATAATGAAGATACTTCTAGAACCATCAACCAAATTATATTAGTAAATGATATTAAATCAATATTCAAATATTTTGAAATTGAAAGAGAAACACCGATAAGATTTATAAAATCTGATAAACTAATCAAAAAAAATGATCAAATTGAATTAATTGAAGATAGCAAAAAATGTAAAGCGGATGATAATAGTGTATTTTATGACGAAAACTGCTACGATTTCTTAGTGTTCTGTCTCTCTGATAATTATGCTTCTAAGAACAAAGGCGCATATAATAAAAACATAGATGACTTTGATAAATTAACAAATCCAATAATGGTAAGTTTAATTCTTTCTTTATAAAATATAATAAATATTTTTTATTAATTTAAAGTTTATTTTCCCAATTATAGGATGCTATAAGTTGGACAGAAACACCAAAAAGATGTTTAATACAAAACAACAATGAAGAAACAGATAAAAAAAGTCAATCACAAAAACCAAACCCAAAAAAAACTCTTAAAAATGTTATAGCTATTAACTAAATTATAAAAAAAAAATATATAATAATAAATAAATAATAATAAAATAATAAATGGTATAATATTATTAAATCAAAAAATATAAAGAGAATAGAAGGTTGAAAATTAATTATAAAAAAAAAAAGAAAAAAAATAAAATAAAATAAAATAAAAAAAAAAATTAAAAAAAATAAATTATAAAAAATTTTAAAAAATGATATAATTAAAAAACTTTTAAAAAATCTTTGCGCATAAATAATTTCATATAATATGGGTAAATCATTATATTTATTTAAATTTCTAATATTAGGAGATGCCTCAGTAGGAAAGAGCTGTCTTTTACATAGATTTACCGATAATAGATGTAGGTATAAATTATTTATAATAAAACAAAAGTTAAAAAAAAAAAAAAAAAAAAAAAACATTATACTAACTAAAATGGCAGTTAAAAGTCAATCGAGTCATACAATAGGTGTAGATTTTGCATCAAAGATTATTGATATTCAAGGTAGAGCAGTTAAATTACAAATTTGGGATACTGCAGGCCAAGAAAGATTTAGATCGGTTACGAGGTATATATTTATAAATAAATAAATGATGACGATGATGGTGATGGTGATGATTTGTTTTGTTTTGTATATATTGGATCGATTATTAATATTTCTTAAACTATTTTATTGCTAATAGATCATACTATCGTGGATCATCAGGTGTAGTATTGGTATATGATGTTTCAAGCAGGGAAAGTTATAATCATATCAATAATTGGTTATCAGATGCTAGAGCATTGGCAAGCAAAGATGTTACTGTTATTTTAGTAGGAAATAAAGCAGATTTATCAGAAGAAAGAGAGGTTTCATTTTTGGAAGCATCAAGATTAGCTCAAGAGAATGATCTTTTATTTATGGAAGCAAGTGCATTATCGGGTGATGGTGTTGAGGAATTATTTTTAAAATGTGCTCGTTCAATTATTACAAAAATAGATAATGGTGAAGTTAATCTTGAACAATTAGGTGTTCAAATTAGTGAAGGTGATCTTTCAAAAAGAGGAAATAGTGGTGATAGTAATAAACCATGTTGTGGTTAAAATATATATTTAAATAATAAATAAATAAATAAATAAATGAATAATAAATAATTAAACAATCGGAAAAAATCCACAACAAAACTAAACCATCAATTATAACACATTCAAATATTAAAAAAAATAGATAGTTTATTAAAAATTATAATAAGCTTTTTAAAAACAAATCAATAATAATAATAATAATAATAATAATAATAATAATAATAATAATAATAATAATAAATAATAATAATAACTGTATATAAAAAAAATGTAAATAAATATAAATTCCAAATCGATTCAATTTTTTTTTTTTTTTTTTCATCAAATATTTATAAACTAAATAATAATAAAAGAAATAATGTAATAAATAAACTAAATAAATAAATCTATATTTTTTATAAATTTAATTTTTTTTAATTTTTTTTTTTATTTTAATTAAATTTTTTAATTTTTTTTTATTTTATTTTTTTAAATTTTCTCACTATTAAACGATATTGAGGTTTTTTTTTTTTTTTTTTATAATAAAATAGCTGTATAGTAATAAAAATGGGATCAGCAATTAGCGTAAATAATAATAACCCAAATAATGAAATAAATAGTTTAAATAATATTTTAAGAACTTTACAAGAGAACAACAACAACAACAATAATAATGTAGATTTAGAAGAAGGCAGAAACGGGGGGGAAAATGCAAATAATACAAACAATGGGGGGGGCATCCAACTTACATCACTTTCTTCGATTATTCCTCAAATTCATAATACAAATACAGTTAAAAGCTTAATAAATATAGATAAAGATACCATTAGATTTATCAGAACTGATATTGATGTAATACACCATCAGCTTACCGATAACATTAAAAATACCAGCAATAATAATAATAATGATAGTAATGAACAGGTAATTGATATAAATGATACCACTACTACCACCACAACAACAACAACAACCACTACCACCTCAACTTCAACTACAGTTGCAGAAAAAAGAGCAAATGGTGAATATGACTTAACATTTACTTTTGACTCTGAAGAAGCTTGTATTATAGATATATATTTTTCATCCTATGAAAATGTTGATGAAGATTTTGATAATAGGTATGTAGATTTTAAAACTACACAAACTTTGTTTCTCCTATACTAATATTATATTTATATATTTTTGTATATTAATATATTAAGAATAACATCAAAACTACATCTTGGTCCATTTAATTTTCCTGCAGGGTTAAATCAAAAATTAGTTTTGTCATCATTTGACCAAAGTATTGACCTTTCAAACTATTATGAATCTGAAATTTTAAATTGTAATATAGAAAAATCTTTATTTCCAATGATTATATCATTAAAAACAGTATCATTCAACAAAAATAAAAACAATACCAATAATCCTGTTTCACTTACCAAACCCAACGATGAATCAGCTCCAAACACTACAACAGCCTCACCAACAAATAACACAGAGTCAAAAAATAATAGCGATAATATTTTAAAGGCACAACATACATTTTTAACACTTTTAAAATGCAATGACTCAACCTATGCTTTAAAACCACTAAAACAAAAGACATTTGTAAGTTGTAATTAATAACAATAGAACACTGATCATAATTACATTAAATAACCATACTAATATAATTTTTAAATAGTTTAACGAAAAGGTATTTTTAGTTCATGATATTTATGGTATAGAACCACATTTAGAGGATAACAAAGAATGTGTTGCATGTTTAAACGACCCAAAAGAAGTTTTAGCAATCCCATGCCGTCATTTTTGTTTATGTAGCAAATGTGCTGAAGTTATGCGTAGTGTCTCCATCAAATGCCCAATTTGTAGATCACGTATGTTATTTCCATCTAAAAAGATTTTAACATTTCATTATAATATTATAAATTCTAATAGATTTTTTTTATAATCCAGCGATTAGAGCGTTACTTAAAATTGATTTAAAGCAACTATCAAACAATAACAATAATGACAATAATAGTGAATAAAATTTTAATATTTTAGTAAATATAATCTTTTTTTTATTTATTTATTTATTTATTTATTTATTTATTTATTTATTTATTTATTTATTTATTTATTTATTTATTTATTTATTTATTTATTTATTTGTTTTTTATTTTTATAAAACATTTTCTTCTTCATCTTCACTTATTTGATATAAATCGGAAATAACAATTGTGTGTGTATTATTTAATCTTCCCAAACTATTATTGTTTAATCTTATTCTTTGAGCTTCTTCAAAGGTTTTTGGTATACTATCAATGAGCTCTTGGATACCAACAAAATTAACAATTTGAATTACTCCTTCTACTCTTGTATAAAATAACTCTGGGGTTGGAGAGTCTATAAGATGATCTCTTCTTCTTAAAACCTCTTCATATATATGGGGATTAACTTTAGTGTTATTTAATTTTTTGGATTTCTTTTTGGTTACAGAGTTATTATTATTATTATTATTATTATTATTGCTATTGCTATTATTATTATTGTTTGTATTACTATTATTATTGTTCATATTATTTTTGGTTAAGGTAGATGTATTTGTATTTGGTTTTTCACTATTCCTTTTATTAATACTTTGATGAGGGATATTACTGGGGTTTTCTGAAGTATTTAATTTTTTTTGAATATTTTTATTTACATTTACCTCATCAACCCTCACTCTTTTACCAATAGTTGAATTATTGTTTTTTATCGGGGTTATAATTATTTTGGTTACAACTTTGGTTTTGGTTGTTATTATGATTTTGGCTTTGATTTTGATTTTGATTTTGATTATACTTATGACTATGGTTACTATGATTTTGGTTTTGATTTTGATTATGATCGTGGTTTTGGTTTTGACCTTTCCCTAATTTTTGTAAATTAATAATCCTATGCTGTTTAATCTCTTTATTACCATAGTTATTATGATTATGATTATGATTATGATCATTATCATTATCATTATCATTATCATTATCATTATCATTATTATTATTATTATTGTTGTTGCCAGTATTATTTTCAATATTGTTTTTTAAAATCCTCTTTTTGTTATTGTTAGAACTATTGACCCCAGTAATACCATCAGTATTTTTATTAATTACATTATTATTATTAGTATTATTATTATTATTGTTATTGTTATTGTTATTATTAATATTATTATTATTTTTATTATTATTATTATTATTATCGTTTTTACTATTGTTATTAGTATTGTTATTGTTAATATTGTTGTCATCAGCATTATTGTTATTTTCATTAATAACATCAATTAAAACTTGAATTAAATTCTCTTTTGAATAATTTTTTAATTTTTCAAATAGTTGATTTTTTGAATAATTTCCCAAACCATTTAATTGCAGTCTTGGCTCTCTTTTAACCAATTCCTTTATTTCTTTATTTGTCAAATTTTGATATTTTGGAAGTGATCTTACAGTTTTCATTATTATATCTCTTTGATAAATACTTGCTTTTAAAACTTCAATTAATGAGCTTTCGATTATTTGATTTTGGTTGATATTATCATCGGACTCATTATCTTCGTCATAGTCACCATGGACATTTCTGTAATTACTTATACTATCATTTTTACTTAAGAGGCCATCACTGTGCTCGTATCCAGCATTGAAATCCATACTATCATTATCACTATCATATGGATGTACTTTGGTCTCTTCATCTTCTAAAAATATTGGTTCATTATTATTAGTATTATTATTATCACCATTATTAGTATTGTTATTTTCAGTATTATTTATATTATTAATATTGTGATTATGATTATTATTGGTGTTATTGGTGTTATTGGTATAATTGGTGTTATTGGTATAATTGATATTATTAGTATTATGATCTTCATTATTATCTTCCATCTCGTTTCCATTTTCGAGATCTTTAAGAAATGACATTTTAGGGTTATTGCCAAACAAAAAAAATGAGTTGAAGTGGGTGATCCTGCTAATTTCTGTGGTGTTTGAAGTGTCCCAAATAAAAGAGGGGTTGGTGTTATGTTTAATGTATTATTACTTAAAATACCAGGGATAGTATCATTGTTAATTTGGCCAAAACTATTTTTATTTGGTGTTTGTGTTGGAGTTGGTAAATTAATTGTTGGTTGTGTTGGGGTTTGAGATTGCGACTGCGTTTGTGTTTGTGTATGTGAACGAGAATTATTGGATGAGCTTTGAGAACTATTGTTTTGTGATGTTAAAGGTGTTTTTTGTAGAGGTAATCGTGGTTGTTGTTGTTGTTGTTTTTGACTATTTGATGGAGAGCTTGCAAAATTACCAAAACTTAATCTATTTAATTCTAAAATATCTTTTTTATCTGATGGTGCAATTCCTTGGAATAGTGGTTCTTTAATTGGTTTAATATTTTCATTATCCATTAAATCAATATTATATTTTTCTTTTGATTCATCTTGTGATTTGGGATAAAATAAATATTTATTTTGGTTAATTTGAGAGTTAATTTGGTGCTGTGTTGATAAATCTGCCATTGGAACATTTACTTTGGAGGTTTGGTAATGATTATTAAAGTTATGATGATTAATTGTTTGTTGTGATAGTTTTAGTTGTTGGGTTGGTTGTTGTAATGGTAATGAAGGTAATTTTATTGGTTGCGATGAATGTCTATTTTTATTATCATTTTCATCATCACTATTTACTTGATTTTTAAAATTATCATTTTTATTGGAATTAGAACTATCATTTTTATTGGAATTAAAATTATTATTATTATTAATATTATTATTAGTATCAGTATTAGTATTAGTATTATTATGACTATGTGATGAAGTTAAAGGTGGTTGTGAAGCAGAGAAATTCTTTTTAAATGGTTGTTGACGGTGTTTTCCAAAGTCAGAGTCATCAAAACTTTTATTTGACCCCTTTTCACTATTTCCCGTCAAAGAACCAAAATCAAATGAATGATATTTATTTGGTAATGAATTTTTTTTATTATTTTTATTATCTAAATTTTCATTTAAATTATCATTTAAATTATTAATATTATTATTATTTCTTTGCATTTTTTAAATAAATATATATAAAAAAAAAAAGGATGGAAAAAAAAAAAAAGATTTGGTTGCAATTATCAAAAAAAAAAAAGAAAAAAATTTCTTGGTTTAAATTTTCTTGGTATATCAAAAAAAAATATAAAAAATAAAAAATTAATAAAAAAAAAATTTTGATTTATTGGAATAATTATAACTGCAATATTTTAAAAGTTCAATTAATAATATTATTTATAGACACACAATATCCATACTCAAACAAACCAAATATGAAGATAACAAAACCATTGTAAAATTTTTTTTATTTGTAAATTCAAATAATTTTTTTTTATTATTTTTTTTATTTTTTTTTTTTATTTTTTAATTTTTTTAATTTTTTTTTATTTTTGATTAATATAAAATAAATAAATGTATAAATAAATAATATTTGATTGTTTTTTTTTTTTTTTTTTTTTGATAATCATAACATTATTTGTTTTGAAATCTTCGATTTTGTTATTAATTTTTTAAAACATATCAAATAATTTAGATTATACAAAAAAAAAAAAAATAAAAAAATAAAAAAAGAAAAAAATAAAAAATAAAAATAAAAAAAAAATTTAAAAAAATTTAAAAAAAAAAAAAGTTTTTAAAAATTTTTTTTTTTTTTTCCAACACACATAAAGATAATTATTATCTCTTTTTTTTTTTATTGTTTTCTAATTTTTCACACAAAAATAATAAAACAAACACTCATTCATTCACTCACACACACAATTTAAACACACTATCAACTAATAAAAAGATAGAATAAATAAATAAAATATAAAAAAATAAAATTAAAATTAATATTTTAATAGTTGTAGTTGTAATAGTATAAATATATAAATAAAATAACGGCGTTGTTTCAAATACCTTGTATATATAAAATTTAAATAAAAGAAAAAGAAAAGAAATATAAATTGTTGTTGTAGTTTTTTATATATAAATTTCTTTCTCACCCAATCAATCACCCAATCAATCAATCAATCAATAATATATAGAAAAAAAAAAGTAGTAAATCAAATATAGAGTCACATATATAATATAAAATGGTCAAAGATATTAAAGTTATGGTCGTTGGAGACATGAGTGTTGGTAAAACATGTCTTTTAATTTCATATACAACCAATTCATTCCCAGGAGAATATGTTCCAACTGTTTTTGGTATGTATACAAATAGCTTAAAATCTCACAACATTCACCATCAAAAGAGTGATTCTGCTTTTATTAGAGTTTCTCTATCGATGTTGTTATTATTTTTTTTTTTAAATTTTTTGAAAAAATTAAAAAAAATTTAAGTTTTTTTTTTTTTTTTTTTTTTTTTTATAATTTATGTGGAAAAAGAAAGAGATTGTTTATTAACCTATTATTTTATATATATAGATAATTATAACGCAAACGCAATTGTAAATAATCAACCAATTAATTTAGGTTTATGGGATACTGCTGGTAGTGAAGAATATAATACGTTTAGACCACTTAGTTATCCAGGTACCGATGTTTTTATTATTTGTTTTTCATTAATTTCAACACAAAGTTTCGAAAATGTCATTAAAAAAGTAAGATTCATTGCTCTATTATAATTTGAAAAATCTTTTTTTTTGAATATTTATTAATTTTTTGATTTTTTTTTTATTATAACAGTGGCACCCAGAAATTCAACAAACTATGGAAGTTATTCCACCAATCATTTTAGTTGGTACCAAATTAGATCTCCGTGGAAAACATAAAAGTGAAGGTGAAATCACACCAGAAATGGGTGAACAAATGAGAGTTGCTATTAGTGCTTATAAATATACTGAATGCTCTGCTTTAACCCAAGATGGTTTAACTACAGTTTTCGAAGAAGCAGGTAGAGTTGTCCTCTTCCCACCATCAAAGGAAGAGTTAGCCAAATCTAAAAAAGAAGCTAAAGATGCCAAAGATCCAAAGAATTGTATAATACAATAAATCTTTTTTTTAAAAAGAAAAAAAGAAAATAGATAATAATAATAATAATAATAATCAAAATATAAATTTACAGTTTAAAAAAAAAATCAAAAAAAAAAAACATAAAATTAAAAATCAAAAAAAAAAAAAATACAATGATAAAATCAATCAATGAAATATTAACACAAAACATAATAATTTATTTAATAAATTTGTAGTCCAAATACATAAATCTCACACTCAAAAAAAACAAAAAAATTTAAATATTTTTTAATAAAATACCTTTTTTTTTTTAATAGTATAGACCTAAACCTATAATTATACTAATTTATTTTAATTTATTCTCGATGGAGATTTTGTGGTGTGATGTTGGTAAATTTATAATTGGATATAATAAATCTAAAATTTTTTTTCTGCAATCTTGAATTTGTTTGGTATCTGTGGGTCTTTCTTTTTTTAATGAGCAAAATAGTTTATAATAGTATTGGATTAAATTGTTTGTTAACATTTGATCAGACTTTAGGTTGCATGGGTTACCCTGTAAGCATCTTTCTAATTCATCCAAGTACAGACGATAGATAACATGATCGGGCATTCTGGTTAGTTGGTATTGTTGGTTGATCGATAGGTTTTTAGGTATCTTCATTTCGCCACATTTGATTTTAAAACGATTTTCGATTAATTTTGAATATTTTTCAATGTATTTGAATGTCTTATAGTCGTATTTCTTATTGTCATCTTCATCATCATAATCTTGATCGGGGTTGTTGTTGGCGCCTTGATCTTTTGTTATGTGACCTTTAGAACATTTATAAATAAAGCCAGATTCATTGCTATTTTGTGGAATTTGAAATTTAAAATTTTTATCGATTGTTAAATTCTCTTTACAGGTGGTGCAGTTTGGGGTTACTAGGTTTGATTGATACTGACATTGATTGCATTGACAAAAGAAGAAATATTGCTTCATTAGATATTTTCTACGGTCTTCTAATGGATTGGTGACGTCAGTATACGATGTTAAAAGCTCTTCACCTTTTTTAAGTGGTCTTAAACTACGAAACACCATCATGCCTTGTTCATCATTATACCAAAATGCATTGGGTGAACATGAGTGATTCAAGTAGCTTCCTGTTGGGAATATACCCATACCATAACTTCGACATGTCAATGGATGTAACATTTCATGGCCGTTTGAAAGGACTATACTGTAGAGTTCAATAATTTCATTTAAGGTTATATATTTGAGAATTGCATCTTCACCACGAAGTTTTGATATAACCGCTATAATAGATGATGCTGATCTTTTAAATGCCTCCATTTGTTGTGGGTCTACTTTATCTAAAGTTCTTGAAAGGTTTTCTAAATCTTGGTACTCGTCAAATATAAATGGATGTTCATGTTTTTTCCAATTGCTAGAACAATTTTCTTTTTTGAATGATTGGAATTTCTTTTCTTTTAGTGCATTTAATACAACTCTAAACATGAATCTAAAATCTTTAGTTTCGGTGGATGGATAGTATTCTTTTAAAAATTGTAAAATATCGCATTCTTCTTTATGGTACTCTGATGCAAATGGGTCTGTGGTGGAGCATCTTTCGCATAATAAAAAGTTATTACAAATTTTACATTTACATTGATCTCTTTTGGATTTTTCGATTTTCTTGTAGCAAAAGCCACAGTTTTTGAATATTTTATCATCTTCTAAACACGAACCAAATGGAGACACTCTCAATAACATTGATCCTTTTGGCAAATCTTCAGAGGCTAGTACTCTTCTACCAAACTGATCTGACCATACCAACTCTACAGGAAACTGATTAAATTGATCAAAATCTCTTTTAATTCTATCCTTACAATCTTTTTCCTCTTTATTTCTCTTTATAATTTTTAATTGAATTTCTCTTTTTTCATTCGTCATTAGTTGTTTCAAAGATTTGTCATTGGCTGTTGTTGCTGCTAAACCGGATTCAATGGATTTTAAGGCTTCTTTATAGTTGCATAGATGCTGATATGATAGAGCCTGTCTGTAATAGCATTTAGAATTATCTTTGTCATACTTGATACCATTGGTTGAGCATTCTAATGCTTTATCTACTGCATATCCATTTAAATAGCATAGTGCTAGATTTGAGTAAATGATTGATAACAGTTTATAAACTTCTTTAATGGTATCCTCACTTTCGTTCTCTTTTAAAGTTCCAAATTTTTCATTAAATAATTCTATTGCTATTGAATAATAGGTTACTGCCCTCTTGTTTAAATCATCATTTGATTTGTCATATTTTAAAAATTCTTCATTTCCAAGCTTCTTTAACTCTTCTAATTTATTTATTAATAATTTTAAATTGTTAATATTTTCATTATTATCCATTTTATTTTAATTTAAAAAAATTAAAAATAAAAAAAAAAAAAAAAAAAAAAGAAATTTTAAAATTAAAAAAAAAAGTTTCATAAAAAAAAAAGTTTTATAAAAAAAAAAATATTCTATTATATATTTTTTCTTTTCTATTTCCGAACTGATAAATAGGGATTATATTTACATTTCGAATTTTTGTTTAAATTAATTATAATATCTTGTTATTACTGAATATTAAAAAAAAACTAAAGCCTGGTTTTTTTTTTCGTTTTTAAAATTTTTTTTATTTTTTTTTTTTATTTTTAATTTTTTTAAAATATATATTTTTTATTTTTTTATTTTTTATTTTTTCATTTTTAATTAAATTGGAATATAATATCATATTTATATTTATTTATATTTATATATATATTTCATAAATACTTTTTTTTTTTTTTTTTTTTATATAATAAATATAACATTAAGAAATGTCATTATTATTTTCAGACGAAATCGATCAAACTGAGGAGTTAACCCATTTAATTTTTCAATGGCTCAATGAAAAAGGTTATTCACAAACCATTTCAAGTTTAGAAATAGAAAGTGCAACACAACAAAATCCATCTGTTGTTAAATTTGGAGGTCAATTGGAATATATTTATAACGAACATAAAGAATTACAAGCTTCAATGAAAACTGAGGATACTCTTTTAGATGAAGACCCAGACCTTGTAAGTAGATTCATTAGCATTTTTTAATAGTTTGATGGTTTAGTATTAATTTTATAATCATTTTTTAGAATGAATTAGGTGATGGTGTTGTACATCAACATTTACATGACACTTTAGGATCAGTACATAGTGCAAATATATTATGTTCAAGATTTAGTCCATTCAAAGACAGCAATTTAATCATTACAGGTTCAACAGATAAATCTATCAAGGTTACAAATTATGCAACCAAATCTTTAGTTAATGAATTAACTGATGTCGCAACTGGTGCAATTATATCTTTAGATTTTAATCCAGTCAATCCGTAAGTAAATTTAATGATACTATTTTATTTATCTATATATTTATATACTAATTAGGTTTTTAAAATATTAGTGAATTATTATTGGCATCATCAATGGATGGTAGTCATTCACTTATTAAAGTTACAAAAGAAGGTGATATTGAATTACTTCAAAAATTCAAAGATCATATTAAATATGTTGTTTGTGTCAGATGGAGCCCAGACGGTAAAAAATTTGCAACATCATCTTATGACAAATCAGTTGGATATTATGTTGAAGACCCAAATAACCAAGGTCAATATATTTTAGAAAAAGTTTGGAATTTTACAGCTACTATCGAATCAATAATTTTCACACCAGAATCAAGCCATATTATTGCAGCAGTTCGTGAATCAAACTATATTCACTATTTAAATACCGACAGTGATTCAGGATATAACATCGATCGTTATAATATGAATTCAAATGGTGATGACCACGTCAGTTTTTCAGCATTAGAATTTTCAATTACACCATGCAAGAAATATTTATTAGTCAGTACTGATCGTAATCGTCTTATTCTCTTTAAATTATACTCTGATAAACAACTTCGTAATTTCTATGGTGCAACTAACGAATTCTTTGTAACAACTCGTAATATAATCTGTCCATCTGGTAAATATGTGTTCTCTACTTCACAAGATAACTTAATCTACGTTTGGGAAGTTGCCAATCAAAAAATAATTGCTAAATTAGATGGTCATAGATCTTCCATTAGAGACCTTTGCTTTTCACCCGATAAAATGTTTTTAGCATCATGTGGTTTCGACAAAAAAGTTAATCTTTGGTCAAAATTTTCATCATTGGATAATTAAATAAACTATTATAATAATCATTTATTATTAAAAAAAAAAAATACCTTTTTTCCCTTTTTTCCCTTTTTTCCCTTTTTACTTTCTTTTTTTTTTCTATTCAAAAAATTTGTATATGAGTTGTTTTATTTTATAAATATGATGGTTAAATAAAATAAAATTTATACTAAACATGTTTAAAAATAAGAAACTCTAAATAAATGCTTCAAATTTAAAATCCTTCTTAATAGTGTATACACCAGATCTACAAATTAAGAATATTTTTTAATAAATACTATAGCCCATGGGAAGAAACTAAAGATTCAAAAAATGAAATCATTCCATACAAATTCCCTTTTTATTCATTTTTACATGTGTTGATATTTATATTCACACATCATTTATTACAAATCTTTTCCTCAAAGAATGAAGGCAATAATTAAAGTTAATGGAAGACACTTAATATTAAGTCAATTCAAAAGTTACAATCAAAAAAAAAAAAAAAAAAGAGATAAATATTGGAAACACATAATTTTTATTTTTATTAAAATATTTGTAGTTTTTTAAACTTCACAAAATAATAATCAGATAAAACTTTATCGTATAATTAAAAATTATATTATTAGTTCTAAATGAACTATTTTAATCCTGATAGTTGGTACTAACTTTTAAGATTGAATCTCCATAATTGGTGATAACGGCTCTCATACCAAAATAACTATCAGAGAATTCTCCACTTTTTTTAATCTTATGTTTTTCTGGTAAACCACCCATTGGATTTAGAATTAGAATTTCTCCTTCATCACTATCTACAACTTCAACTTTAATAACTGTTGGTGCTGAATCCAAGGTTTTCTAAAATTAAGTTAGTTTAATTTTTAAAAATTAAATATTTTGAAATATAAAGAGAATTTAATACCTACGACATCAATTTTTTGATACGATTCTGATTGAAAAGAAAAAAAAAGAAAAAAGTTAGAAAAGTTTCTGTAAAATAATTGATAAAATACAAGAATATCATACGTAGAGTCCATGGTCCTGACACTTTTAATTTCAAATAAAAATAAAAAAGAGATTAATTAATTTTTTTTTTTTTTTTTATTTAATTTTTATAATTACTTTTTATTTATTTTTTATAACCTTAATATATTTGAATGAATGAGTGAATGAATGAATGAATGAATGAATGTTTTATTAAAAAAATGTTGGTATTTAAATTTAAATTTTTTTTTTAAAAATTATATTAATTTTTTTTTATTTTTTGTTTAATTATATAAATTGTCTTTTGGGTGTTGATATCTTATTGAATCTGAAAAGAGGTTAAAAATTAAAAGTTAATATATTTATAAAAAAACAAACTCCACCACTTTTTTTTAAAAAATTAATTAAAAAAAAAAGGGGTTTCTGTCTATTTTACATATTATTTTAAAAAAAAATTTTCAAAGTTTATATTAATTATGATGATAATAAGTGAATTTTAATTAAATTTATCTTCTTTTATTCACATTACAATTTAAAATTACAAAAATTATTGGGGTATCAACAATTTTAAGGGAGTTAAATTTTTACATGTTTTTTAAATGCTAAAAGTTTCATTTAAATTAATATAGCGATTTAATTTTTAAATAATATATATTTGTGTATTTGTAAATTATTTTTATAAAATGGCAGTTATTTAATAAAACTTTAAGGGATATTAGAGTTTGTAAATAATACTAATATTTCTATTAATTTCAATTTTTTTCAATTCTTTTTTTTTCATTAATTAAAAAGGTATGTTAACTGAAACATTAAAAAATGTATCTATATAAAATGGGTTTATCATTTAGAGCATATGGATAATAATAAACTCAAAATTAATAGCAAATTCAAACTATTCTCCCAACCCTGGTTCTCTCAAAGTCTTTCAAGCTCCATAAAATCAACTAAAGTAAACTTCTACTCTAAAGGTTCATCATCAACACCCTGTTCAAATAAAAACTCGACCTCAGTATCATCACCTTTAATGTTTGCGTATACAAATCGATATTGTTCACCTGTAAAAAGTAAATTTAAACAAGTGTTAACGAAAACCACTCAAGCAACTATTTGATGAATATCAATTAACAAATATAAATTTAATTATTATCGATACAGAACGTATTGTAACGATATAATTGTTTTAGTTTTCTTTTATTTTTTTTTTTTTTTTTTTTTAAATATTAAAAATTTGGTAAATATTTGTGCGTACCTGTAAATATTTCACACACAAAAATTTTCAAGTCACTAAATATATTTTTATTTAATATATTTTATTTAATTTTATTTTAAATTTTTTATTTTTTTTTAATTTTTTTTTTTTTTTTCCCAATATTTTTTTAATTTCATTATTTTTTTTTTTTTGAATAGTTTTTGTATTATTATTTTCTCTATAAGTTTAAATTATTATACTTTATATAATAATATATTTATAATAAATATTATAAATAATTAATAAATAAAAAATTTAAATAAAATAAATAAATATTATAAATATTATAAATAAATATAAATAAATATAAATAAATGAATCCATACGGTTATCCAAACAACGGTTACCCTTACGGCTATCCACCACCAGGTGCCCCAATTTGTAAGTAAAAACAATACTTTTCTCATAGTTACAAAGAATAAATATTTATTTATTAATTTTAATATTTAGATCCAACTACAACCACAACATATATCACTCCAGTTGGTGTACCACCAGTAATGGCACCTCCAATGGTACCAACAACAACTGTTACTTATGGTGTACCACCACCAGTAATGGCACCTCCAATGATGGTACAACCTGGTTACCCAGTAGGTTATGGTGTTCCACCCCCAAATCCATATAATTATCCAACTGGTCCACAAATCCCAGGTATTAATGGTTATTCAAACAGATCAATTTCAGGTGTAAGTATATAATAAAATAAAAACAATATCATCAATATTAATTACTGTTCAATACTATAAAATTATCATTGCTTTTACTAATTTCTTTATTTAAACAATATTATAGCATAAATTTAGAAGTGGATTTAAAGTTCGTCATGAAAACAGATACCCATTTTAAACATCAAATAATAGCTAGCAATTAATTAAATGTATATATTCAACAAAATCAGATAAACTAAAAAAAAATAAAAAATAAAAAAAACTTAAAAATAAATATTTATGTATTATATAATAATATTGCTCGTTAAATGTTTTTGTTTATTGATAAACTTGGGGCACTTTTACAAAAGATTTTAAAGGGTGAAAGAATTGTTGGATTATGGCCACACTCGAATTCAGCGGAATTACCTTGGATACTATCACAAACAAGATCATTATAAAAACCAAGATAAAAAGTATTTGGATTGGAGGAGTTTGTCGTTATTTTACCACATCCACCACCACAAATGTTGCTATCACATTTATCTAAATATAAAGTGAATGTTTTGCAATACGGTGATTCTAAAACAAAGGTGTTATATAGTTCAGCATTGGTTTCTATGAAGGTGGACATAACCAACAATAGTATTACCAATAAGCAATTAAATAATTTCATTATAGCAAGAAAAGAAAGATAGTTATATATTAATTATTTTTTGATGTCAATAAATAAAAAATATAAAAATTTTTATTTTTTTATAAAAAAATATCCCAGTTTTATAGATATCACATGGATATTATGACCACATTTTTAAAAAAAAAAAAGGTGATGGAAAAATAAAAAAATTCTATAGAATCTAAACCTATAATTTTGATTATTTTTTATAATTTTAAATTGAAGAAAATTTTATTTAATTTTATTGGTTTTGTTTAGAGAGAACACCAAGAACATTATTACCACAGTTGTTTCCAATAAGACCAACATTGTTATTGTCAAGTAGTGCAACACTGTTTATTGATTGGTTGGTGCTATGATAAACTTCAACAAAGTTCTTTTGGACTTTTGTTTGATTTTGGGAAATTGATTGTAATGATTCTTAAATTTATGAAAAAAAAATTAATATTTAAAATAACCTTTAGTTTTAAATAAAATAAAACTTACTAAATAACATTTTGTATTGATACTAGAGATGATGAGTTTAATAAAAATAATAAAACTGATCTGTATTTATAGTTTATAATTTAAAAATAATTTAATATAATATAATTTGATTGTAATTTAACCCCTCCAAAAGTATATATAAGTTTTTGTAAAAAAAATATGAAATGATTATGATACCATAATACCTTCTATTAAATTTCAGTAATTTTTATAAAATCTTTAAGATAAAATACTAAATTCAATCGATTTAAAAGAATTATAATAATGGGGCAGCTTTGTAGTAATTTTAATTTTATAAAAAAATAAATTTAATAACTTATAAAAATAATTAAATTTAATTTTAAATTTACAAACTAATTTTTTAATTTCAATTTTATAATAAAAAAAATATAATAAAAATAATTAAAAACTTATAAAAAAAAACAAGAAAATAAATTAATAAGATAATATTTTTGCTTTTAAATGATTATAGTTTATTATAATTTTTTTTGGGGTAGTAATACTTGATTTTTTAATTTTTTTTTAAATTAAAAATATTGATTTTACATTGTTTGTTGTGAGAGGACACCAAGGATATTATTGTGGCTATTATTATTTAAAATACCAACATTATTGTTATCAAGGAGGGCAACGGTATTAAAACTTTGTTTTGAGGTGGATGAGAAAGTGCTTGATGTGCTTTCTTGTCTATTTTGGGTTTGGGTAATTGATTGTAATGATTCTAAATAAATGGGAAAATAAATTAAAATTAAAATTTATCCAATTGATTTTTTAATAGCTTTTTACTTACTAAATAACATTTTGATGCTTTGTATGTAAGTATTGTTTGATATAATAAAAAAAATAAAAACTTCTATTTATCCTTTTTTAATTTTTAATTCTTTTTTTAAATTTATTTTATTTTAATTTATTTTATTTTAATTTATTTTATTTTAATTTATTATTTAAATAAAATAAATCAAAGAAATCTTATCTTTATTAGATTTACAAATAAGTATAGATATTCGTATAATTAAAATTAATTTATTTTAAAAAAAAAACTAAAAAAAGAAAAATGGAAAATAAAATATTTATTAAAAACAATAAGTTTATATTTTTTAAATAAAAAAAATAAGTTTATATTTTTTATTTTTAAAGTTTGAAATTCATAAATTAATATAATAAAATGAAATAAAACCATAAAGAGAAAAGATTAAATTTTAAAAAATTTTAAATTTTTATTGATAATATTTTTATTATCTTTTTGTTTATTTATTGAGTTTGTTGACTTAGGATACCAAGAACATTATTTCCTTGATTGTTATTTAAAATGCTGACATTGTTATTGTCCAAGAGAGCAACAGAGTTTTTTGATTGGCTTGAAGTTCCAGTAATACCGACAGATGATACTTCAACTCTTGATTGGGTTTGGGTGATGGATTGTAATGATTCTTCAGAGGATCAAAAATTATGCACAATTAATATTTTTTTTTTCATTTAAATAGTTTTTTTTTATAAAATAGTTTATAAAACTTACTGAATAACATTTTTATTGATACTTTAGTAATAATATATTTTAATGATATATTTTTGAATACAAATGATAAAAAAATAAAAATTATTTATAGTTTTAATTTTTTATATAAAAAAAAATAAAAAACTAAAATTATTTGCATTTTTTTTTTTTTGTAAAGATCCTTGTTGAAAAAATATTTTAAAGATGCTTAATAAACTATTGATTTATTTTATATTAATTTCATTAATTTTATAATATATATTTAAGGAGCTATACCTATAAAAAAAAAAAAAAAAAAAGTAATATCAATTTTATAAAAAAATCTATTAAATTATTAGAATCTTATCATTTTATCTATAACTTTTAAATTATTTACAAACAATTAATAATAAAAAAAAATTAATATATT